ACTCTGGCCAACTAAAGTACTTTGGATTGCTAAAGAGGGTGTCCATTTTTTAATATTACAAAAAGCACAGATTTAAAAGAAGTTGGCACTTGTCTTAACAAGACAAAAGGTCAATGTTATGTCCTGGTAGTTTAGCTTAGTAACACTAAACTCAAGAGACAGGCAACTGCTCAGAGCAACAGCCTTGCAAAGCCTTCCCATTGAGTTGTACTGGGACGTTTGCGTAGCTACAGAAAGTCTGAGTTGGCTTAGAAGAGGAGGGCATTTCAACATACCCCAATGGAAAAAAATGCTTAATTAGTACCTTAGTGACCAGACCATTTTCAATTTTCTTCCCGTTCAGGACTAGGGCACTTTTTACATTTTTTGCAGTGTTTGTGTTAAGCTGTAATTTTCCTCTTGCTCATTTACTGTACCCACACATATTATATACTGTTTTCCTCGTCATTAAATGGTCTTTCTAAAGGTTCCATTATTTTCATCATATAATATAATTTACAATAAAAAATTTTTTATAAAATATGATGAAAAAAATGTAAAAAAGAACAAAACAAAAAAAACACTTTTTCGAACTCTGACCCCCAAAATCTGTTACACATCTACAACCGCCAAAAACACCCGTGCTAAATAGTTTCTAAATTTTGTCCTGAGTTAACATGTTAACATGTTATTAGCTTTGTTTGGAAAGTTATAGGGCTATAAGTACAAGTAGCACCTTGCTATTTCCAAACCATTTTTTTTTCAAAATTAACGCAGTTACATTGTAACACTGATATCTGTCAGGAATCCCTGAATAACCCTTCACATGTATATATTTTTTTAAAAGAAGACAACCTAAGGTATTAAACTTTGGGTATTTTGACTCTTTTCATGCAACCATTTTACCACCAATCTATGCCAAACTTAAAAAAAAAAAAAAAAAATTGGTGATTTTTATTTTGAACACACATAGCAATTTAAGAATACATGTACTGAGAACTTTAAGGGTTACTGCCAAAGAACACCCCAATATGGGTTCAGCAA